AAAATACTAAATAAAATACTGGCAAACCAAATGCAAGAACACATCAGAACCATCATCCACCATGATCAAGTAGGCTTCATCCCAGAGATGCAGGGATGGTTCAACATAGGTACTTTGTCAGTGTAATTCACCATATAAACAAACTGAAAAAAAAAAAAACACCCACAGAATTATCTCATTAGATGCTGAAAAAGCCTTTGACAAAATAAGACATCTTTTCATGATAAAGGTCTTGGAGAGAGCAGGACTACAAGGATCATACCTAAACATAACAAAGGCAATATACAGCAAGCCAAAAGCCAACATCAAACTAAATGGAGAACTCAAAGCGATCCCACTGAAATCAGGAACAAGACAAGATTGTCCACTCTCTCCATATCTATTCAATACAGTTCTTGAGGACCTAGCTAGAGCAATAAAACAACAAAAGGAGATCAAGGGGATACAAATCGGAAAAGAAGTCAAACTCTCACTATTTGCTGATGATATGAGAGTTTACATAAGTGATCCCAAAAATTCTACCAAGGAACTTCTACAACTCATAAACACCTTCAGTAATGTAGCAGGATATAAGATTAACTCAAAAAAATCAGTATCCCTCCTTTACACAGATGATAAATGGGCTGAGAAAGAAATCAGAGAAACAACACCCTTCACAATAGCAACAAATAACATGAAATATCTGGGAGTAACTCTAACCAAACAAGTGGAAGACTTGTATGACAAGAACTTTAAATTTTTGAAGAAAGAAATTGAAGAAGACACCGGAAAATGGAAAGATCTCCCATGCTCTTGGGTAGGCAGAATTAACATAGTAAAAATGGCAACCTTACCAAAAGCAATTACAGATTGAATGCAATGCCCATCAAGATCCCAGGAAAATTCTTCACAGACCTTGGAAGAACAATACTCAACTCCATATGGAAAAACAAAAACCTAGGATAGCCAAAACAATCCTGTACAATAAAGGAACTTCTGGAGGCATCACAATCCCTGACTTCAAGCTCTACTACAGAGCTACAGTACTGAAAACAGCCTGGTGTTGGCATAAAACCAGACAGGAAGACCAATGGAATTGAATTGAAGACCCAGATATCAATTCACACACCTACAAATATCTGATTTTTGACAAAGAAGCAAAAAATATAAAACGAAAAAAAAGAAATCATATTCAACAAATGGTGTTGGCATAACTGGATATCAACATGTAGAAGAATGAAAATAGATCCATATCTATTGCCATGCACAAAACTCAAGTCCAAATGTATCAAAGACCTCAACACAAAACCAACCACACTGAACCTCACAGAAGAGAAAGTGGGAAGTATACTTGAATGCACTGGCACAGGGAACCACTTCCTAAATAGAACCCCAGGAGCACAGACACTGAGAGAAACAATTAATAAATGGGACCTCCTGAAACTGAGAAGCTTCTGAAAAGCAAAAGACATGGACAACGAGACAAAACGGCAGACTACAGAATGGGAAAAGATCTTCCACCAACCCCACATCATGGATCTAATTTACATGGGAAGACATACATGGATCTAATTTACATGGGAAGTAGAAAAAGACAAGATCTCTAGGCCTGGATTGCAATTCAAGCAAGTAGATGGGTTGATTGCATCACCGAAGAGGCCCTAGAGTGACGGCCAGGGGACAAGAGGACTTAGTAGCAAAAAAATAATAATTCAAGTATTGGCAGCAGAGGTAAATTCTCTACCCACCTCCTTCCTGGAATTGTATGAAGTACGGCAAGGGGGGGTGAGCAGCCACTGGCAGAGAGATCTGAAGGGGAAGTGGTATTGAGGCACAGCTTCTCAACCACAACAGGAAGCAGAGGGTCGGCTTCCTGAACTGAGACACAGGGTATTTATTGACTACAGAACTGCATTACGAAGGGTCACTAGGAAGAGGGTAAAGCGTGCCTCAGAGGGAGCGAGTTTGAGAACAGATTGGAGACCATGGAGTCGCCAAGGAAGACAAGGCTGGGATATCTGAGCAGATGCAGCGCTGCAGTCCTGACCGGAACCGCACATTTCACGTTCTGGTTCCTAAGCTAAAGAGAACACTCTTTTCAAATGGAGAGAACAAGGGATAGTCAGTGAAGGGTCCACGAATAAGAAGATAGAAATGTAGATTCCAGAAATAGGAATGTAAAAATAAAGAAATATAAAGTCGGAAGCTTAGGAGAATGAGAGCAGGCTGTTAGCAGCTTTTTCAGCAGCTTAAGGATCAACTATTATCAGTGAGATACTTTGCTTTACAACCCACAGCTCTGTCTGCAAGGCTGAAGCGGCCCCCTGCAAACTGAGGGACAGCTTTTAGATACCCCCCCCCCCCCGCCACTCATGACCGGCAATTGATGGGAGCTGAGTTAGCTTTAAAATGATGGGATGTACCTGACTTTTTGGTTGTTCTTTTTTCCTTACCCTTCCCTGCTACACAAAACTGGTGGTATCAGTGGGGGAGTGTAGAGCTTTGGTAAACATCATCAGAAAATGCCAGAAGAATATAATGGGCTACATGCAAATGCTAGTTTAACTAAAAAAAACACCTCTGTTAATGGAAATTGCAAAGAAGGGTAATTTATATCTGAGTTTTACCTGAACATTGTAAAAATTCCCTTATTATTGCCTAATGCTTGCTGCTTCTTGCTATAAAAAGGAAAAGTCTGGAAACCATCCTTTGCCACATCCTTACAAGTTCTGTGGTCTCAGCTAGCTGATAAGCTTTTTGAGCTCCATGTAGATTTATTTTTGTAATTTTGTATTTTTTCTGGAATAAAGTTTGTTCTGGTCTAATAGACTTTGGTGGTCTGTCCCCCATCTTTGCACAACCCCCGCGGGCCCAACAGTCAGGGTGCCCAAACAATGAGGAAAGATTTTGTTAGGAGGTAGGGCTGGGAGAGTCTGCCTCAAACCAGGCCAACAATGTTTAAATAGTTTTGTTTTGAGACAGGGTCTCGTGTAGTTCAGGCTAGTTCAGTGTGTGGGTAAGGATGACTTTGAACTTCTAATTCTCCTGCCTCTACCTAAGTGCTAAGATTTCAGACATATGCTACCATGTCCAGTTTATGCAGTGTAAAGGATTGAACCCAGGACTCCTGCGTGCTAGACAAGGCCTCTACTGACTAAACTTCATCCCTAACTCCACCAACCTTGCTTACATTGTATGAGGAAATGCCGTGGGGTGGGGAAGGGAGGTCGGCTAACTGGATTGAACTCAGGTCATGCTTAGAAACTGACTGAGCTATCTCCCTTGCCTACATTTATTTCGTAAATACTTTTTGCCGTCCCTGGTTTTTTTTTTTTTTTTTTTTTTGAGACAATGCCTCTCTCTCTTTTTATTTATTTATTTATTTATTTATTTTTTGAGACAGGGTTTCTCTGTGGCTTTGGAGCCTGTCCTGGCACTAGCTCTGTAGACCAGGCTGGTCTCGAACTCACAGAGATCCGCCTGCCTCTGCCTCCCATCGCCCGGCTGACAGTACCTTTTAAAGCATAGGCTGGCCTTGAACTCTTCTCCACCCTCATGCCTCCATCCCCCAAGGGCTCCACCATACAAGATCTGGTTTTGTTTCTTAAAACAATTTGAAGCATTTATTTATTTAAAATAATTTAAAGCATTTGTGAATGTATGCATGTATTTATACGTGGTGTATCCATGGCACTCATGTGGAGGTCAGAGGACAACTTTCAAAACTCAGTTATCTCCTTCCACCCTATTGGCCTTGGGGATCGAACTCAGGTTGTCAGGGTATAAAGTAAAGTGCCTTTCCTCACTGAGCATTCTTCCTCATAAGAAGCAGTTAGGGTGAGCATCCAAACTGCCTAGGCTCCCCACCAAGCCAGTACGTGCGGTAGGATCAAAAACCCATTGCCATTGATCTTGAGTTCTCAGTAGTCCTCATTGTCCGCTATGTTCAGCGAGTCCGGTTTTACCCACAGGGCAGGGAACCCTGATTGCTCTTTGGGCTGACGAGGGAGGGGGACTTGATTGGGAGAGGGGGAGGGAAATGGGAGGCGGTGGCGGGGAAGAGACAGAAATCTTTAATAAACAAATAAATTAAAATAAAAAAAATTAAGAAGCAGTTAGGGGCTGTAGAGATAGCTTAGATGTTAAGGGCACTTGTTGCTCTTGCAGAGAACCCAGGTTCGATTCCTGGCCTCTAAGGAGCTCACACTATCTCTGACTCCGGTTCCATGGGATCCGATGCGGTCTTCTGGCCTCCGAACACACAAATACATATATGTAGGCAAAACACTTATACACATAAAACAAAAATAAATCTAAAAATAGGAGCTACCAAAGGAAGGCCATGTGATCACACAGGAAGACAAACATCTACAACCAAAGGAGAAAAATCTCAGAAAAACCCGAGTATCCGTGCCTTGATCTTATTAGGATTTCAGTCTCCAACGCCAAGAGAAAATGCATTTCCATTATATTAAGCTACGCAGTCTGTGGTACTCAATGGTAGTCCTAGCAAACTAGAACGAGGGTGTTGTGCCTTTCAAACTAATGGACCGCGCTGCCCCATTCAGTTGACTAGACTCCCCGTGGTCCGGTGTTAACTGGAAGCCCTGACTGGAACCCTTAAGGATTTTGGACCTGCTGGGATACATGCTGCCTTCGAGTGGGCCGCTGTGTGACATGATGACCAGTCTTGGGACCCAGAACCTCACCCCTTTCCCTGCACAGGGAAGGAAGGTGACTGGCGGTGTGTGCCGTGTTGGGTGAAGGAATGAATGAAGGGCGCCTGTGCCTGAGGTATCCAGGGGTGAGAGGGAAGAGGCCATCCGTGGCGGGGAGAGAGGTGCCCGAGGAGGCGAGTCTCAGGACGCCGAGGAGGACAGTTGCCTGTGGGACAGCAAGGACTAGAAACCAGCGGCTTTGAGAGGAGGAGCGGCCGGCGGACGAGCGGTCGGGCGGGCGCGCGCTCGACGCGTCCTCTGGGCTCGGCCCTCAGGGCGCGCGCCCGTCCCAGCCGCACCCCGCCCCCTGCCCCAGGCCGGCTCGCTGGACCCCACGCGCTGCGGGGCCGCGCACGCCCCCTTCGCCGGCCGGGACCCCGGGTGCGCGCGCTCGGCGCTTCCCCCTCCCCCTCCCCGCCCGGCGGGCGCGCGCCGCCTCCCGCTCCCGCTCCAGCTGGCGGCGGCGGCGGGGATTGTTTTTGTTGTCGCTGAGGCCGGAAGAGCCTTGAGAGAGCCGGGTCCCGGTTCCCCGGGCCGGGCGCCGCCGCCGCCCCCTGCCCAGCGCCCGCGTCTTCGCGGCGCCGCCTCAGCGCCAATATTCCGGAGAGCAAGCGTTACACGGCGGCGGCGGCGGGGCCCGGAGCGGGAGGCGCCGGGGACCGGAGCGAGGCGGCCCCCGTCGCCGCCATGGAGGCGCTGGGACCCGGTGAGGAGCGCGCTCAGGCCGGGGCCGGGATCCGGGGCTCGGGAGGGCGGACGGAGCGGCGGAACGGACTGTCGCTGCCCCGCGGCCGCTCGCGGGGAGCCGGATGCGGGTTGCCAGGCCCCGGGAAGGAAGGGACCCCATGCCCTCGTCCCCGGGGGGCGGGGACCGCGCCCCAGCTGAAGACACTGGGTCTTTTCTAGACCCCTCTGGGGGAAGTCTGAGGGAGGGAGCTCAGGAGCTGCCCCGAGTCCGCCGAGGGAGGGCGGACCAAATCCGACCTCAGAGCTGTCCGCGGTCGCCGTGAGGCCAGCTGGGGCCTCAAAAGGGACCGTGTGTGCGGTGCAGGCGGAGGCCTGGCCCAAACCTGGGAGGCCTCCTACCTTCGACCTAGGGTGTTTTTGGCGTGGGGCCGAATCCCTTTTTTCCCTTTCAGAGGACGAAGAGAGACCCCTTCACCCCGTCCCTGACAGCCAAAGCGGGAAATGTCCGTTCTTTTTCCACGGCCCTGAAGTTTGGTGTCTGTCAGTTTGTCAGTCCCAGAGTGCTGATGACAGGGGAATTGTCAGCCAGGACTCTCCAACACCATTGAACTGGCTTAGGAGTGGTTGTGAGGATCCAGCGAGAAAGTGTTTTTGAAGCTGTGATTCCTGGAGGGTATGGGTGGCCTCTGGTTATCGCTCTTTCTGCCCCAACCCTAGGAAGCTTTTCAGACTCTCAGGAATGCTCTGCGGTCGCAGCCTGGTGCTCCTGTCACAAGCCCCAACAGGTTGCTAATGACTTGGCTAAGTAGGACAAGGTTTAGGGACAGTGAGGAATTAATTTTCATATTCAACCCTTGTCTATATAGTGGACTTAGTTGTATGCTTTTTAAGTACATAGAAAATTAGATTTATTTTTTTGAATTTGGAAACTGCAGGTTTGTTTACTTGGAACATGTTTACGTAACTGAGTAATTAAACCCTATCTTCATTTGCTGCTTGAAGTTGAAACGGAATTCAAGGCCGGCATATTCAAATTTCATAGACCTTTTAAAAATAAATTGGCTTAGCTGGGCACGGTGGCATATGCTTATAATCCTAACGGTTGGGAGGTGGAGGAGGAAGATCAGGAGTTCCAGGACAGCCTCGGTTTGTTTGAGTTTGAGATCAGCCTGGGCTACTTGAGACCCAGGCTATAAACAGATCGGAGCCTGCTGTATTGTTGCATACTTTCCATATCAGCATTTGCGAGGCCGAGGGAAAAAAGAATAGCAAGAGTTGGAAGGCAGCTTGGCCTACATAGACTCTGTCCAAAAGAAAATGCTGCATTGGTTAGTTATAGTTATATATTTGATAAACCCCAACATACTATGCTAAGCTACTTTCAGATAGCTTGATAAAAGCAGGCTTATGATTTTAGGACTACCAAAGTTCCTCTCAGATCTAATATAGTAATTTCATACTTGTATTGCCCCCAGCCCCTGCCTCCATTTTCCCACAACTTAATCCCATCGCACTTCAATTTCCTCTTCTTTAAAACAAGGCTAAGATGTGCTGTAAGACAGACGTGAGAATGAAAGGAGACGTGTGTCAGAACTAGACTAGTACAGATGTCCAACAAATGTTTCTTCTCTTCCCTCCCATGAGTAACTTACAATTGAAGCAACTGTTGCAGTTATTTACTGATACAGAGACTATGTAACTATGTGTACAAGCTGGGTGTCATTAAAAGAATCAACATGGTGAAGTAAGGAACAGCCCAGGACACCAGCTACCCACCCTCTGGTTTGATTTTAGTTTTTTTTCCCTGTCTGAGGACTAGCAATTCTTAGAACTGCTCAATTTGTAAGTGTCTTTTAAATAAGATTCATTAATCTTATTTAAAAGACATCGATTAATCTTATTTAAAAGACACCGATGATTAAGTGAAGATTTTACATAGATCTTCTCTGCTGAGTAATATGTTCCTGTCTGATGTATAGACTCTTGCGCTTTGGTATCTGACTACCTTGGAAACCTAGTTAGTAACAAGAAATAACAGTTGCTTGTTGAACATGGAATCAGAACAAAGGGAGTGGATGGGTCTTGTGGGATGTTGCTTCCAGGCTGTTGTAGAAAGGGAGAAGCACTTTTACTTCCATTAGAGCATGCCTAGGTCTAGTGTGTTGAATCTTTTGAGGGGTGGGGTTTCAATATCAGGTTTCTCTGTGTGACAGCTCTGGCTGTCCTGGAACTCACTCTGTAGACCAGCTGTCCCTGAACTCACAGAGATTCTCCTGCCTCTGCCTCCTGAGTGTTGGGATTAAAGGCGTGCGCCACCACCGTCCAGCTGTGTTGGGTCTTCTGCACCTGAACAATCCCTGGTGGCCTCTTAGTCCTACTTACTTCTCTGTCACTACCTGGGTTCATCTTCTGTCAGTAACTTAGAAAAGTAGATGACTTTTATCATTCATTTTGGTTATAGCGATTATAACCTTAACTTTTGCATGGTTCTTTTTTTTGTTTTTTTTTTCAAGTTGTTTTGCCTTTTTTGTGGTTTTTGTAGTGCTTGGGATGGAGCCCAGGCCCCATGAATGATAGACACTGCCTTATCACTGAGCTGTTTGCTGTCTTGCAGCCCTTTGTAGTGCTTTATAATTTGTAAATACTTTTATATGGGCTGGGGAAATGACTGAGTGGTTAAGAGTACTGGCTGCTCTTCCAGAGGACCTGGGTTCAGTTCCCAGCACCCATATAGTGGCTTGAAACTGAAACTCTAGTTCTAGGAGACCTGAGGCCACCTTCTAGCCTCCGTGAGCAGTGCATGTATATGGTGCACAGATATATGTTGATGGAAGTTTCTGTCCCAGCCACTCCTGTGGATATTCAGTCCCAAATAAACACACAGAGGCCTATATTAATTATAAATTGTTTGGCCTATTAGCTCAGGCTTATTATTAGTTAGCTATTACAATTTAAGTTAACCCATAATTCTTATCTATGTTTAGCCAAGTGACTTGATACCTTTTCTCAGAAAGGCATTCTCATCTTGCTTCCTCTGTGTCTGGCTTGTGACTGTGTCTCTGCCTTTCCTCTCCCAGAATTCTCCTTGTCTGGTCACTCCATTTCTTGCCTGGCTACTGGCCAATTAGTGTTTTATTAAACCTATATGAGTGACAGATCTTTATAGTATACAAAACATTATCCCACAGCAGATATACATGCAGGAAAAGCATCCGCACACCTAAAAATAATTTTAAAAAAGAAAATACTTTAATAATTATGAGTTCATTTGAGCCAGACCAGATGACTTTTAACTGTAAACCTAGCACTTGGAAGGCTGAAGCAGAGGGATTGTTATGAGCCCAAAGCCTAGGCTACTGAGTAAGACCCTATCAAAACAAAAACAAGAATGAAGAACTTTATAATCCAACCACCCAACCAACCAAACAAAGCCTATTAGTTCATTTGGTCCTTTGGGAAGTAGACAAGGCAGGTATCTGTCCTCATTTTATAGATGAAAAGATGAGTATCAAAGAGTGTAAATGACTACATCAAGACTCAAAGCTCCATGGGGAGGTGAGGACCAGAGTGTGGGGTGTTTCTTCCCTACTCTAACACCCTCTTTCTTTAAGGATGATCTAACTCAATATGTTTTGTTTTCAGAAAATGTAATTGTTTTGACTGTCAAAAAGTTGTAGGGTTGCCACCAATATAAAACCAGAATATCTGTGGGCATTATATAACCTTTATGCAGCTGTCATTATAATAGTTAACACTTGGGCTGGAGAGATGGCTCAGAGGTTAAGAGCATTGCCTGCTCTTCCAAAGGTCCTGAGTTCAATTCCCAGCAACCACATGGTGGCTCACAACCATCTGTAATGGGGTCTGGTGCCCTCTTCTGGACTGCAGGCATACACACAGACAGAATATTGTATACATAATAAATAAATAAATATTAAAAAAATAATAGTTAACACTTATTGGATGCATAGCTGTTACAAAGCGCTATCTATGTTAAGCCTTTTATAGACATCATCTCCAGGAATCCTCACTACAGTATTGCGAGATAGATGTACATATTACCACATAACCCCTGTTTTATAGAAGAGGAAGCTGAGATATAAAGTTAAGAGGTAGGCCCAACGCCATACAATTAGGAAGTGGTAAGACCAGAACTAAACCTGAACCCAGGTATTTTAGTTCATGAGGCTTAGGCACTATGCTTTATTGTTTTATTAGTTTTCCTAACTCAAAGAAAGTGGTTTTTGAAATTAAATTTTTAGAGTAGCTCACATAACCTTTCTCTTGTCAAAAAAAGCAAAACAAACCAAAAAAAAAAAAAAAAAGAGAAACCCCAACGAAACAAAACACAAAACAACCCAAAAGCAGCGACATGGGGCTGGAAAGAGATGGCTCAGTGGTGAAGAACATTCCTTTAGAGGACCTGCGTTCAGTCCCCGTACCCACATGGGAGCTAGCAATCGTCTCTAACTCTAGTTCCAAGAGGACCTGATGCCCTGTGCTGGAAACACACTCACACATATAAAATAAAATAAACCTCAAAAAAAAAAAGAAGAAAGAAAATGAGACATAAAACATTTTACTCTAATTTTTTTGATGCTAAGGATCAGGCCAGGGGATCATCTTGTACTACCTGTAGGGGCATCCTGTACCAATGAGCCATACTTCCAACCTTCTGTTGAATCTCTGTTATTTCAGAACCTCTGCCTATCCCTTAGTATAGATAATGAAATGATCTGTGAAATCTGGGGAAGAAATGGGAGACTTTGATCCAGATTCATAGGCCACTCATTTGATCAAAGTTTCAGCTACCAAATTCCTCTTATAAAAACAGATTGCTTCTAATTGTATGTTATGATGATTGCTTAAGTGTATCTTTTGCAAGGCTGACATATATATGATTTAATTGGGTTGATTGGTAATTGCCTTATCACACTCAATAAATCTTTGTGCATCACAATAGTATTTTTCGTGTGTTTTTATATATGCTATGTGCTTTTTCTTTTTTGAAAAACAATTGCCACATTTTGCATATTAGGGCTGAAGTTTCTGTTTTGTTTTTACCTGGAACTAATTATTTATCCATATTTATCGAATCTATACAACTTGCTAGGTGAAGAGTTAGGTATCGCAGGAACCATTAAATGGAACTCTAGTTCTTACAAGAATTTATGAGTCTACTATAGAAGATGAAATAATTTAACAACTTACTCCTTTTTAAAATTGTGTGTGTGGGTGTCTGTGCGCACGCATGTGCGTGCGCATGCATGCATGAATCAATCTGTTACTCTTTTCACCATGTGGTTATAGGGATCAAACTCAAGTTCGGGTACCTTTACCTGCTGTGCCGTCTTGCTGGTCCACAAGTGATTTCTTATATTTGAGCTAAGTCCTACCCAGTGCACAGGGTCTTGTGTATACAGGGGGTGATTCTTTCTCAGGAAGTTGCATCTGAGTTACATTTAGAAGTTTTGTATTTAGGAAGAAAATGAACAAAAATTGAATAATGTGAAGAAATATTCAGTACTTTATCTATTATATTAGTGTATAGTGATTTATCAATACAAATTTCATGAAGATATTTGCTGTGGTGTCCTTAAGTGATGTTGGAACAGAGCAGGCAAATATTTCAAAGCTTTTCCTTTTTAGTGAATTGTGTTTATTTTCAGCGAAATGTTACTTCAGTAAGAGAACTTGTAACTTTCCATTGTAACCACAACCTACTTTGCTCAGTGCCTATTCATAATGGAAAAGATACTTATTTTTTAGGCCAATGTCAACTTGATATTCTCCTTAGAGTGAGATTGGTTAGATAAGTATCTGCAGCCTGTGTCTACAAAATCCTTTCCCGATGAAGGTTAATAGAGGTTCTGTTTTGAAATGGGGAATAGGAGTCAAAAGGGAGAAGGAAGACAGGCAGAGAGGAAGGGAAAGGTGATAAAATGAGTTGAGTAAGTGATGAGTTATTTTGTTTATTCACTCCATAACTTTTAAGAGAATTAAATATGGTAATATATTCTGTAGGGCTGGGGCAATGGCTTAGTGGGCAGTGCAAGCACAAGGACCTGAGTTTGGATTCCCAGCACCCACGTAAGAAGCACTTGGCAGAAGTAGAAGGGGCAGTGCTGAAACAGGCAGAAATTTGGAACTCCTTTTAGCTGTCCAGTCAAGGTGAACCAATGAGCTTTAGGTTCAGTGAGCGATCCTGTCTTAGAAAGTAAGGTGGAGAGAGCTGGAGAGATGGTTCTCTGGTTAAAAAAAACTTGTTGCTATTGTAGTGGACCCAGCTTGGTTTTTCAGCACCCATATGGTGACTCACAACCATCTGTAACTCCAGTTCCAGAGGGTCTGATGCCCATCTCTGATGTCCATAGGCACCAGGCAGTCATGTGGTAAATCATACAGATATACAGGCAAAATACTTATACACATAAAAAATAAAATAAATATATCTTTAAAAAGTAAGGTGGAGATTGATAGATGAGAATACCTGATGTTCTCTGGCCTTCATGCATGCATACATGGGCATGTAACATTTAACACATGCACATGTGCACACACATGCAGGTGTGTGCATGTATATATATTGATATATAAATATTTATATGTATATATTAAAAAATGGGCTCTTCTGTGGCATATACGGGCCTCCAATTTGCAATGCTCCTGCTTTTTCCTCCTGAATACTAAGAACATAGGCATGTAGTTTTTTTTTTTAAAAAATTAATTCCTTTTACATACCAACCACAGTTTCCCCTCCCTCCCCTCCTCCCCCTTTTCCCTCCTCTTCCCACCCATCCATACCTCAGAAAGGGTAAGGCCTCCCCATGGGGAGTCAGCAAAGCCTGGCACATTCAGTTGAGGCAGGACCAAGCCTTCCTGTCCCATATCAAGGCTGAACAATGCGGCCCACCATATGAAATGGGCTTCAGAAAGCCAGCCCATATAGGCATGTAATCTTGTGAGTTGTGATTGGAGAGCTTCTGACTGAGTACTACTAGTATTTTGACCTGGATGAGTCCTGCTCATGGGTGTTGGTAGCACTCTGGTTGTGCAGACTACAATGTCTCTAGATACCTGCCTAATGTTCAAGTCAAGAGTCACTATTTTAGACCACTGATTTTGAGGGCTGAGGCCCTGATATTGAGTACATAATGTAGATTAGGTACATAGTAAATGAATTGGGTTCTTTGGTTTTTGAGACAGGTGTAGCCCTAGATGTTCACACAACTTGCTCTATAGACCAGGCTGACCTTGAACTCAGAGATCCTCCTGCCTCTGTCTCCTGAATTTTGGGATTAAAGGCATCTGCCACTACCTTCTGATTTTCAATCAAGTTCTTGTTTGTTTGTTTGTTTAAACATTTTTTTATTTTGTTTTTTTGAGACAGGGTTTTTCTGTGTAATAGCCCTAGCTGTCCTGGAACTAGCTCTTGTAGACATTTTTAATGATTTATTTATTCTTATTTTATGTGCATTGGTGTTTTGCCTGTATGTATGTCTGTGTGAAGGTGTCAGATCCCTTGGAACTGAAGTTACAGACAAAGTGAGCTTCCATGTAGATGTTGGTAATTGAATCTGGGTCCTTTGGAAGAGCAGCCAGTGTTGTTAACTGCTGAGTCATCTCCAGTCCTTGTTTTGTTTTTAATTTTTTTTTTGAGAGGCCACTCTAGAGCCCAGGTATGACTGGTACTCACTCTGTAGCTCAGGCTAGCCTTGATGACAGTCTCGAGTGTTATGACAGTCTTTTGAGTGTTAGAATTACAGGTATGTATCCCACATCTGGCTAAATTGTCACAGTTCTAAGAATAGCAGATTATAGATTAGAAATTATATCATAGTTGGTATTGTTTTGGTTTGATACTTTAAAAAAGTGACTTGATAAACTGCAGTTTAATCTCCTGCTGTTTGTATGGCATATAACAATGCAGGGCTGTTTGTAGGAAGTTAATGGCTGTTCTACAACTACAAGGGCTCTTGATGGCCCTAGGGTTTAGAGATTATTTCTTTTGTTTATTTATGTGGTAGTAGGGATTGAACCTGAGCCTTGTACAAACTAACCAGTACCATCACTGTGTTACATCTCTAGCTTTTTTTATTTTGTTTTGTTTAAACCCAGGATTAGGCAAGTGCTCTACCACTGAGATACATAATGCTTTTTGTTTTATTTATTTATTTCTTTTTTTTTTTTTTTGTTTTTTGTTTTTGTTTTTGTTTTTCGTTCGAGACAGGGTTTCTCTGTGGCTTTAGAGCCTGTCCTGGGACTAGCTCTGTAGACCAGGCTGGTCTCGAACTCACAGAGATCCGCCTGCCTCTGCCTCCTGAGTGCTGGGATTAAAGGCGTGCNACTAGCTCTGTAGACCAGGCTGGTCTCGAACTCACAGAGATCCGCCTGCCTCTGCCTCCTGAGTGCTGGGATTAAAGGCGTGCACCACCATCGCCCGGCTATTTATTTATTTCTTGAGACAGAGTCTCACTGTGTAGTTCTGTCCTAGAGCTCACTAGGTAGACCAGGCTGTCCTTGAACTCACAGAAATCCTTCTGCTTCTCTCTTCTAAGTGTCAGAATTAAAGGTTGCACCATCTCACTTAGCTCCTGGCTTTATTTTTATTAATATATACTTTTTAATTTTATTAATTCATTTGTATAAGTGTCTTGCCTCTATGTATGTCTGTGCTCCATGTGCATGCCTGGTGCCCAAAGAGGCCAGAAGAGGGCATCAGACCACCTTGAACTAGAGTTACAGATGGTTGTGCACCGCCATGTGAATTCTAGGAATCAAATTCAAGTCCTTTAAAAGAGCAGTCAGTGCTCTAAACAGCTAAACTATCTCTCTAGTTCCCTAATTATGTTAATGCATTCAGTGTGTGTGTGTGTGTGTGTGTGTGTGTGTGTGTGTGTGTGTGTAACACATCTTGCCAGTAGAGTCAGTTCCTTCTTTTGACTATATGGGTCCTGGGCATCAAAACGAGGTTATCAGGCTTGGCAGCAGTTTTTATTTACTGAGCCATATCACCAGGACTATTGTTAATTTTTTTGAGACAGGGTTCTGCCTTTAAGCTCTTAATTTTCCTCCCTTAGCATCTTGAGTGCTAGGATTACAGGTGTGTACCACCATGTGACCATGCCTGGCTACACGTTATTTTTAAATGTATATAATTTTGTAAACCTCTGTATGAGATCAATTAATTATAACTGTCTGTCTAACTTTCATGTCCGTTATATTAAAAATAATAACGTGGTCCTCCCTCTTTCTCTCTCTCTCTCTCTCTTTTTCTTTCTGATACAGGGTTTCTCTGTAGCTTTTGGAACCTGTTCTAGAACTTGCTCTGTAGACCAGGCTGGCCTCGAGCTCACAGAGATCTGCCTGAGGGCCCCCTCTACCTTAATTTAAAAAAAATATGTGTGTGAGTATTTTTCCAGCAGGTTTGTACCACAAGTGTGCCTGGTGCCCATGAAGGCCTGAAGAGGACGTCAAATTCTCTGGAACTGGGGTTACAAACTGTTGTGAGCTGCCATGTGTATGCTGGGAACTGAACCCAAGTCCTCTGGAAAAGCAGCTGGTGCTCTTAACCTCTGACCCATCTCTCCATCCCCTGAGATCTCAGATTTTTATATCAGAATGTTCAGCAATTAATAAGATCTCAATAATTGTAGCTGTCATTATGATGAAGAGAATATTCTCTTCATTGCCAAATAATGCAATATATGTCTTTCACTCTCTTTAGGACCTCCAGCCAGCCTTTTCCAGCCACCGCGGCGTCCTGGCCTTGGAACTGTTGGGAAGCCAATTCGACTGTTAGCCAATCATTTTCAGGTTCAGATCCCTAAAATAGATGTGTATCACTATGATGTGGATATTAAACCAGAAAAACGGCCCCGTAGAGTCAACAGGTAAGGATTAGAAAGAGTAGATGTCTGTATATCTAAGTACATACAATTCACAAAGTTTATCAGTCTCTCAGAAGTAGGCATTATTTTACCCTAGTAATAAGTGTATATGGGATCTTCTTTGGGTTTTGTGGCAACTCAGCTGTATATATTATTGCTCTATCAATAAATACATGTTATTTGATAAAGTGAATATGTCATTGGTCATCATCAATCCAAGTTCACAGAAGTTTATAACTAGAAATGAAGACATTAGTTAGTAGTATATGGGAAGTAGAACTATCTGGAGATCCAGATTTTATCACTTCTTACATGAAAGTGTAATGATGTAAGAATTGTCTTAGAGTATTCATTAAAAAAGAAGAAGAAGGCCGGGCAGTGGTGGCGCACGCCTTTAATCCCAGCCCTCGGGAGGCAGAGGCAGGCAGATCTCTGTAAATTCGAGACCAGCCTGGTCTACAAGAGCTAGTTCCAGGACAGACTCCAAAACCACAGAGAAACCCTGTCTCGAAAAACAAAAAAAAAAAAAAAAAAAAAAAAAAAAAAAAGGAGGAGGAAGAGGAGAAGGAGAAGAAGAAGCTCCAGGAGAAGCCCTGCTTACTTCTAGCATTATCCAAGTGGGGTTCTGATGAGGTGACATGTGTTTTGTGGTCACGTTATTAACATGAAGTCACCCTGTATCAAAAGTGCACATACACTCACTTCCCTGTCTCCTGCTTCCATGTGGTCATCTCTCAGTGCCTCCTATACTAAGATTCTTGCTTTGCTAACAGTGCTTCTCCTGCCAAGTAAGCTATTTGGTGATCCTTAGGGGGGTGTTTTGGTTTTGGTTTATCCTTTCTTTTTTATACTCCAATAATTTGGCTTTCTGGTACAGTTCAGTGTTGTGTAAGGTAGGGTATAACTGAGATCAATCATAATAGACCTGCTAATAATAGCTACTTTTAATATGTTCAACAAACATTATATTCTGTATTAACTTGTTTGTTTGTTTGTTTTGAGATAGGGTTTCTTATAGCCCAGGCTTTGAATCCCTGATACTTTTGTCTCTATCTCCCAAGTACTGTAATTGCAGGCATGTACCCCACACTCAGTATTTGTTTCTTCTTTTGAGATGGGGTCTTAATATATAGCCCAGACTAGCATTGATTTACAGTGTCCTTGAATTCAGATCTTCCAGCCTTAACCTTCTAAGTGAGGACATGTGTTTTAAATGTGTGTGTGTGTGTGTGTGTGTGTGTGTGTTTATCCATGAAGACCAGAAAAAGGTGTCAGATTCCTATGATGCTGGAGGCACAGGCAGTTATAAGCTTCCTGACATGTGTACTGGGAACCAAACCTTAACTACTCTTCACTGCTTAGTCACCTCTTTGGCCCAGAATTTGCTAGACATGCTAAGTTTATGGTTATGATGTTTATTAGATGTATAGAATATGTGAAATTGGATTCAGGAGAGATGTGTATTGGAGATAGGCATTTGAGAATCGTGAGTATTTTTGGGTTAGGATACAGCTCACAAACATGGAGCTCATTAAATTTGGTAAGATAGAGGCTAGAGAGATAGTCAAGAATGCCTTTTGCTTTTGGAGAAGACAGGAATTTGGTTCCCAGCAGCCACATCTGTAGTTCCAGTTCCAGACAGTCCAGCACCCTCTTCTGGCCTCTTTAGGTATTTTACACATACACACAAACACACACACACACACACACATCTTTTTAAAGGTGGCAACACAAAGCACCCAACTTTCACTGACTTTACCATTCACAACACTGCATACTCAGATATGTCTTTGTCTTATACATTTCCTTGCTGTTGCATTTGTTTTAGGAACTACATAGAGTAAGTCATAGTATATGTAAGACTACTTAAGTAGAGCCAGGCACTGACTGACAGAAAATATCTCTGTCTAACAGAAACTAGACCAGCAATATTTTTAGAGTGAGAATATTTTATAGCATTCTTTGTCTATACTACCCAGAAACTTTTTGGAATAAAACAAAGTAGTATACAGAGTATTAAATCAATAACATTAGAAAAGGGGATTGATCCTACTTGCTTGAATACCATGCATCTTAGATATATTGATGCACACATTTCTGAGTTCTTTTCTTTTTTCGACAACCATTTCTTTTTTAAAAAAAGAGCTTATTTTTATTTCATGTACATCCATGTTTTGCCTACATGTGTGTCTATATGAAGTTGTTGGATCCCCTGAAACTGGAGATACAGACAGGTGTGAGCTGCCATGTGGGGCTGGGAATTGAACCTGAGTCCTCTGGAAGAGTAACCAGTGCTCTTAATCACTGAGCTCTATGTTAGCCCTCAAAAACCATTTCTTGATAAGAATTCTGATTTTATAAGAAACATCATTTAATGGTTAAACATCCTTGCAAAACTTAGATGTCTGAAACTTATTATTCTTGTAAAGTGCTAGTTAATTTACTTGTGCATTTCTTTTCTATTGTGTGGGTCCTGAGACTGGCAGCAAGCACCTTTATCTGCTGAGCCATCTCATTGCTCCATCTTTTTTTTTCTTTTATTTTTTGAGACTGGGTCTCATGTAGTCTATGCTGGTCTCAAACACAATATTTAGCCATTTGAACTCCTGAATCTCCTGCTTTCACCTTCCCAGTGTTGGGACTACAGATAAGTTAATTTTTTTCATTGTTTGAGTCAGCTTTGTGGCTTCGACTTTTTTCTAGTGGCCCCACACAGAGTTTGGATGAAAGCATGATGACAAGTTGACGCTGCTTTCTGTTGGTCACTTCTCAAAGCTAACTGCCACTGTCTCCATTACTGTTAAGGGAGGTGGTAGACACTATGGTACGACACTTCAAGATGCAGATATTTGGGGATCGGCAGCCTGGTTATGATGGCAAAAGAAACATGTACACAGCACATCCACTGCCAATTGGACGTGATAGGGTAAGTGTTAACAGCAAGGAACTCTGGGTTTTAGTACCTACTCCAGATGACCCAATCCTCTCCTTTCTGGTCACTCTTCAGTTCTTTTATTTGTTTGGTTATTGATCGTGGGGAGGCATACGCAAGCCACAGTGCATGTGAGTTGGTTGTCTTCATCCTTCATGTCAGGCTTGTTGGCAAGCACCTTTTCTCACTGAGCCATTTGCCAACACCCTCCTCTCCTGCTCTCCCTTTTCTTACTATGGGGCTTGAACTCAGGGCTGTGCACCTGCTGAACTGTGCTCACAGCCTCCTTCACTTCAGTTCTCAGAGTTGTCTTTCATTGTGATGCTGATTGATTGCACTTCCCACAACGAATGCCTCTTAGCCAGCTGAAAATGAAAGATGAGAGGAGCACTGGGACACACTGATTCTGTCATCTCTACAGATAGTCTGCATTTTCACACTATACCTAAATACAACAGTAGGATTTGTATTACTTCATTTATGAAAATGATACCACAATACTTTCCTTTTCTTTCTCTCTCTCTCTTCCTTTTCTTTCCTTCTTTCTTTTCTTTTTTTATTTTTGGAGACAGGGTTTCTTTATGTATCTTTGGTTGTCCTGGAACTCACTCTATAGCTGGTCTCAAACTCACAGAAATCTGCCTACTTCTGCCACCTGAATGCTGGGATTAAAGATATGTGCCACCATGCCCGGCCACAGCATTTTCTTAAACATCTATTTTAATAGTAAAAACAGTACCAAGTATGGTAGTACACATCTTTAATCCCAGCACTCAGGAGACAAAGGCAGGTATAGATCCCTGAGTTCCAAGCCAGTGTGGTCTACCTAGAAAGTTCCAGGTCAGCCAGGATACATAGTGAGACCCTTAATTAAAAATAAACAAACCAAAAACAAAGAGAAAAAGGAAGTTTTTTTTTTAATTATATGTTTTGTCGGGCAGTGGTGGCACATGCCTTTAATCCTAGCACTTGGGAGGTAGAGGCAGGTGGATCTCTGTGAGTTCGAGGCCAGTCTACAAAATGAGTTTCAGCAAAACCAGGGTTGTTACACAGAAAAACTCTGTTTCAAAAAAAAGCATGTATATATATAAAATATTTTTATTACATTTATGCACAAGATTGTGAGTGAGTTTGTGCACATGTAGTGGCCACAAGGTCAGAAGAAGGCATCAGATTTCCTGGAGGTATTGTAAACCCCTAGTATTCTAAAATTAGGGGTACTGAAATGGCTTGCTGGGTATAATCCAAGCTGGACAATTTGGATTCAATTCCTGGGACTATAGGGTGGAAGGAGAGAACTGACTTCCACAGGTTGTCCTCTGACCTCCACACATGTGCCATACCACATACTAACCCCTAAACGTACATGCATATACACATAAATGAATGAGTAAATAAATAGATATAACAAAATATTTTATTAAGCAGTTAAGAGCATTTGTTGCTATTTCTAAGAACTAAGGTTGGTTTCCAGGACTAACATCAGGCAGCACAGATGCCTGTAATTCAGCTCCAGAAAGTCTATCTTTCTTTTTTGGCTTCCATAGGAACCTGCATTTATATTAATAAATAGACAAAGAAATAAATACTCTAAAAATTGACATTTAAAAGTATTTTTAAATTTAAAAAGGTAGGGTTGGAGAGATGAATTGGTAGTTAAGAACACTTGTTGCTCTTGTGAGAACCAGGTTCAATTCCAAGCACCTATGTGGTGGCTCATAATCATCTGTAATTCCAGTTCCAGGAAACCCAGAACCTTCTTCCTAGTTCTTTGGGCACCAGGCATGGGTGTGCTACATACATGTACCCAGGAAAACACCCATACACATAAACTAAAACTCTAAAAGGTAGCTCAGTAGTGTGGCACTTGCCTCACATACATGAGACTCTGAACTTAACTCTTAGAACCACAATTTTTTATTGATTTAAATTAAATTTATAGTAATATGTGAACACATGTACCTTCTTTCTACATTTATTAGACACTTCACAAGAACTGAGGCTTCTTGGCTTTCCTGCATGTTTGTACCTTCCAATTCCATTTTCCTTGTTAGCCCCACGTTGTTATGTGTCACTTTAGATACTTTATGTGTTACCTTTTTACATATATGTTTATGTACATGCTTATTTTTTGCATATCATGCTGTGATTTTTTCATTAAACAGTATGTCGAGTTATTGTTTCCACTTATATACAGTTATATATACCTTACTCTTTTTTTCTAATTCAAGACAAATGTTTTTCAGCTATGTCTCAGCCTGGCTTGAATTCATGGTCCTCCTGCATCAGCCTCCTTAGTTCTGGGATTACAGGCATGCATAACTACTCCACTTTTAAGAGCATTCACATTGTTGTGCATCTGTCACCACCATCTATTCTAGAATCCTTTTGTTATCTAAAACAGAAACCTTCTGCCCACTACACAGTAGTTCCATAGTCCTCACTGCTGATTGTTCTGGTAACCACTCCTCTACCTTTTGTTTCTGTAAGCATGACTGTTCTGAGTACCTCATGTAAGTAGAATCATCAATATTTGCCCTTTCATCTCAGGTTTATTTCAGTTAGAATAATGTTTGCAAGGTTTATCCACACTGTAGTATCTCCCTTATTTGTTTATTTTAAATTTTCATGTATTTATTTATTTGCGTGTGTATATGCATGCATGTACAGTAAACCGATTCCAGCTGTGGCGTGCATGTGGTGGCTAGAGGACAACTTGTAGAATTGGTTCTCTCCTTTTACCATATGGGGCCCCAGAATCAAACTAGGTCATTAATGCTGGTGGTAACAGCATTGACCTACTATCATTGTATAATATTTTCTATTAAATTATTCCTTTATTTATGAACAGTTACTTTGTTTCCAATGGTCTAAAATTATAAAAAGTATTAAGTATCCATTATGCATATGCCATGCAGGATATTCCTGGGGTCTTTCCTACAACCTTTATAAACCTGTTTGTCTGTATGTATTTTTCCCTAGGTTGACATGGAGGTTACCCTCCCAGGTGAGGGTAAAGACCAAACTTTCAAAGTATCTTTGCAATGGGTGTCAGTTGTGAGCCTTCAGTTGCTCTTAGAAGCTTTAGCTGGGCACCTGAATGAAGTCCCGGATGACTCAGTACAAGCACTTGACGTTATTACAAGGCATCTTCCCTCTATGAGGTTAGTACCCTATTTTGGATCCCTTCCCACAAATGTCAGTCTTTTTGACAGATTGTATTTAGCCATGCAAAGTTTTAGACATAAGTCACAGTTCAAACTTGATTTCAATTCACAAACTGACCTCAAAATGCTTTGTAGGAAGTATTCAAACCCTTCTCTCTTCAGGTACACTCCGGTGGGCCGTTCTTTTTTCTCACCCCCCGAAGGTTATTACCACCCTCTGGGAGGTGGCAGAGAGGTCTGGTTTGGCTTTCACCAGTCTGTGAGACCTGCCATGTGGAATATGATGCTCAACATTGATGGTGAGTTGAAACTCTGTTAATTTTGGATTCCGTTTGATTGGTTTGAACCCTTTTCTTTGCCTTGATACTAAGCATCCTTTCTCTGTTTGTAGTATCTGCAACTGCTTTTTACCGGGCTCAGCCCATCATTGAGTTCATGTGTGAGGTTTTAGATATTCAGAACATCAATGAACAGACAAAACCTCTAACAGACTCTCAGCGTGTCAAGTTTACCAAAGAAATTAGAGGTAGGTATTCCTGTTAATGTCATCTTGGAGTGAGTGCAACACAGTGCAGGTGTCTGGGCTTGAGCCAGATAGACCTGGCTTCCCTTGCTAGCCAAATAATCTTAGCAGTGGGACTACAAAGTCTCAGTATACACTTAGACTTGAAAATAAATACCAGAACATGTTGATGCTTATAAAAACTTGTTGAATGAACTAATAAATTCAGTTATGTAACTAGGTTTGGCATTGCATGCATGTGATCTCAACAGTTAAGAGGCTGTGGCAGAAAGATCACAACTTCAAGACTCATCTGAACTATGTAGAGCTATCTGTCTCAAAAACAAAAATGGGTTGAGTATCATGAATCTTTTTGCCTTTATATGATGAATCTGTCTCCACATTCTTGTAGCTTTTGTCCTGTGTTAAGTTATTGACTTCTTGTGTGTATGTGGAGAAAGCTTTGTTCTCTACAGTAGTAAGGAGAGTATGAAAATTCTTTCCAAAGTAATGCACTCCTTGACTTTTTGTTTGCGTTTTTGAAACAGAATCTTACTTTGTAGTTCTGGCTGTCCTGGAACTCACTATATAGACCAAGTTGGCCTCTGTCTCAAAGACATCTGCCTGCCTTTGCCTCCTGAGTGCTGAGATTAAAGATGTGTCCCACCATGCCTGGCCACTCCTTGACTTTTTTTTTTTTTAAAGATTTATTTATTTATTATATATACAACATTCTGCCTCGATGTATGCCCCTGCGCCAGAGGAGGGCGCCAGATGTCAGTACAGATGGTTGTGAGCCACCATGTGGTTGCTGGGAATTGAACTCAGGACCTTTGGAAGAACAGCCAGTGCTCTTAACCTCTGAGCCATCTCTCCAGCCCCTCCTTGACTTTTTGAAGACAACATTTGAATTTGGTTTTGTTACTATGATTTTAATTAAAACTGGTACTCTTACCTTTTTTTAAAAACTGGGACTAAACAAGCATGGGATCAAACTTGGACCCTCTGAATGTGGCTGACAATTGGGGCAGACTGAAAAGCCAATGATAATGGCACTGGGATTTGTCTCTACTGCATGTACTGGCTTTTTGGGATCCTAGACTATTTGAATGCATACCTTCCTAAGCTTGGGTAGAGTGGGGGAAGGCCTTGGACTTCCCACAGGGCAGGGTACCCTGCCCTCTCTTAGGACTGGAGGGGGAGGGAGAAAGCGAGTGAGGGAGCAGGAGGGAAGTGGGAAGAGGGGAGGAAGTGGAAATTTTGATTGGTATATTTATAAAGTAATTAAAAAAAGAAAAAATACTCTTCAGGTCTCAAAGTTGAGGTGACTCACTGTGGACAGATGAAACGAAAATACCGAGTTTGCAATGTGACAAGACGGCCAGCCAGTCATCAAACGTATGTCAATCATATCTAAAATAGTATAGTAGTCACGAAGGATGGTTTATATCTGTAATCTCAGTACTTAGGAGACTGAGACAGGAGGATTGAGTTTGAGGCCAACTTGAGCTACCCCAAGAGACCCTTTAGGTCTCAAAACCTGATAAATCACAAAATGAAAGAAAACAACAAAAGAAACCCAAGTTAACAATGGAATATGGTAGCAATTTGATACCCGAGGAAGTTACTGAGTGTCACTGGCAAAGACCGTCCATACACAGTAGTGTGGTTTGGGGATCACAAGAATCTTCACTTACCACAAAAGCTCTAAAAAAATATTTAGATATTTGTTGAATAGTTGTTCATCTTACCTTTTGAACCAAGTATATTAAACATAGATCAACTTGTATTTAGGAATACAAGAAGATGTTAATTCATACAGTGCCTGCTGTATAGGTGTGAGCACCTGACTTTGGCTCCCCATTGCTGACATAAAAGCATGGCCTGGAGGTGAACATCTGCCATCTTAGTGCCAGTGGAGAGTGACAGGGAGATCTCCAGAACTTGCTGGTCAGCCAGCCTAGCCAGAAGGTGCACTTGAGGTTCAGTGAGAGACTCTGTCTCACAAAAGTCAGTTGATGGTGATAGAAGATACCTGATGTTGACTCCTGGCATCCGTGTACACACACATGTACACACGCACACACAAGTGTATACATATACTACATACATGTATATACAAACAAAACTAAGAATTTTGAAAAGAATGCAGTTGTCATTATTATAATCCTCAGTACTTGATAACTCTGCTAGGGTCTAGCTATCATACAGGCTGCTGTGGGAAGACAGATACTTCTTTGCAGATTTGTGTAGTTGTCTTTCCTTTCCTTTATAGTGCGTTGTTACTCCCAGCTATTCCTGTGTGTCCTGACTCCAGTAGTGTGTTCCTTTCCACTTACTCGATCTTACTTTTCTAACCAAACAACTTGTAGTCTATTGAATGCTGTGCCTAAGTGAGAATGGATTTAGAAATGCCTATAAAATTACTATATGACAGATTCATTGTTCTAATCAGGATCACTAAATTTGTGTCTGACATGAAAAAGATATTGGCTCTTGCTAAGTAAATATTGTTAAATATTTTTTAGGTTTATTTATTAATTATGTATACGGCACCTGCCTGCATGTATCCCTGAAGGCTAGAAGTGGGCACCAGATCTAATTACAGATGGTTGTGAGCCACCATGTGGTTGCTGGGAATTGAACTCAGGACCTCTGGGAGAACAGTCAGTGCTCTTAACCCCTGACCCATCTCTCAGCCCCAATATTGTTAAATCTTACATTATTTTGGTTACTTAGGAGTTCTTTTTTTGCTGTTATAACTTTGTGTCCATGGTGTTCTCCCCTCCCCTGTGTGTGAGTGTGCATGTGTGCACAGGTGTGTGTGTGTGTACTTGCACACATCAGTGTGCTGCAATATATGTGTGGAGGTTAGAGGAAAATTTTTAAGAGTTGATTCTGTCTTTCTACTGTACGATTCCAGGGTTGAACTCAGGATATTTGGCTTGCAAAGTGAGAGTTTAACCTCTTAATCCATCTCCCCAATCTGTGTATTTAGTCTTGTCACCTCCAAATCACATAATTTGCCCTGTCTTAGGAATCAGAAAACTTGGGAAATCTTAAAATGTGGCCCTAATAACTATACTCTGTTTATTTAGGGAAAAAACATTGTCTTAAGCAAATAACAGTTTGTAGATGACCCCAAGTGCTTATTTAAATTTACGTGTCTCTGTAGCCAGTAAGATGGGCTGTAGAGAGAACTCAGTGGTTAGAATCTGTTATTCTTGCAGAAGATATAGGTACAGTTCCAAGCATGGTAGCTCACAGCTGTCCCTAACTTCAGTTCCAAGGGACCAGTGGCCCTCTACTGATCTCTGAGGCACCAGTCATGCACATGGTGATCATAATTACATCCAGTCTGGCCTCAGACTTGAAGTGGTTCTCCTGCCTCAACCCTCTTGAGTACTAGGGTTTCAGGTGTGACTCACTGTGCCTGATCTTTTGTGAAAAAAAATATTAAATTTTGTATTAATTTTTTTTGGAATTGTTCTAGTACAATACTAAAATGACTTGACTGAAAGTAATAAGACGTTTTCTGGTGGTGATGGTGCTGGGGATTGAAAGAAAGGCTTTATGCATTCTGCACATATACCTAATCACTGTGCTGTATCCCTAGCCCTAACCCTTGTTCATTTTTTTCACAATTTATTTACTTATATGCATGTGTGTACATGCACTCTGTCTTTCTCCTGATTCTCCTGCCTCCATATCCCCAATGCTAGAATTATAAGCATGCATCACCATGCCTATTTATGTGGTTTATGTAGTGCTGGATATCAGATACAGGGCTTTGTTTTTGCTAGATAAACTTTCTACCCACTGAGCCACATCCTCCGCCCTTGACCTTTGCTTCTTTCTTTCTTCTTTTCTCCCTCTCTTTCTTCCTGAGACAAGCTTTCCCAGTGGCTATGGAGCCAGTCCTGGAGCTCAATCTGTAGCCCAGGCTGGCCTTGAATGCACAGAGATCTGCCTGCCTCTGCCTCTGGAGTACTAGGATTAAAGGTGTGCACCACCACTGCCCAGCCTGACCTTTGTTTCTTAAGTGACTTAGTTAATATAGAAAATGTTAGTAGTTTTTGCTTGTTAAAAAAAAAGGTAAAAGCTCTACATAAACTTTCTTTTCTCTAGCTTTCCTTTGCAGCTAGAAAATGGTCAAGCTATGGAATGTACAGTAGCTCAGTATTTTAAGCAGAAGTATAGTCTGCAACTGAAATACCCCCATCTTCCATGCCTTCAAGTGGGACAAGAGCAAAAGCATACATACTTGCCACTTGAGGTAAGTCGACTGGAATTTCCTTTGGCCAATATCTTGAATTAATTTTTCTTTTAAAAAGAAGTGTTCATTCCTTTAATTCCACCACTGGGGAGGCAGAGGCAGGTGGGTAAGTATGGGGCCAGCCTGGTCTACAAAGTGAGGTCCAGGACAGCCAGGGCTACATAGAGAAATCATGTCTTAAAAACAAACACACAGTCTTCTAAACTAGTGGTAGAATTTAGTCTTTTTGAAGTATTTTGTGCATAGAACTTTCTAATATAACTCCTCTTTTCCCCTGGAATAGACAAAGACTTCATGTATAGAAGCCCATTTCAACAAAACCTAGCTTCTCTTTGTCTCCCTGCAGGTCTGTAATATAGTGGCAGGACAGAGATGTATAAAGAAGCTTACAGACAATCAGACATCCACAATGATCAAAGCCACAGCGAGATCTGCTCCTGACAGACAGGAAGAAATCAGTAGACTGGTCAGTAAGACATGGCCTTCCGATTAGCCTGCTGTGAGATAAAAAGCAAAAGAACAAACAATCCCAAGGGAACATAGTTCCTGTTTGGTTTTATATGCAGGCTTTCACATTCCTTAGGTGAAGAGCAATAGCATGGTGGGTGGACCTGACCCATACCTGAAGGAATTTGGGATTGTTGTCCACAATGAGATGACGGAGCTCACAGGCAGGGTGCTTCCAGCTCCAATGCTGCAGTATGGAGGCCGGGTAAGCTGCTTCCTCACCACTCCAATTTATTAAAAAAAAAAAAAAAGCCGCACCTTTGAATTTACCTGCAGTTGTGCTCATTTTTACCGTCTGTCTTCTGACTGTACCAAATAAAGTTTTGTTTGTTCCCTCTTCACCACAAAAATGGTCTTAGATTGTAATATCTTTTCTCTTTTCTTTTGTTTCTTTTTTGTTTTTTTTTTTAAAGAATAAAACAGTAGCCACACCCAACCAGGGTGTCTGGGACATGCGAGGAAAGCAGTTTTATGCTGGCATTGAAATTAAAGTTTGGGCAGTGGCTTGTTTTGCGCCTCAGAAACAATGTAGGGAAGATTTACTAAAGTGAGTATCCCATTTTCAGCTCAGTAATGCTCCTTCTAGATTCAAAATACCATCTTTATGTGAATGTGCTGGGTACACTGGCACTGACCCTTGATGCCCATAATAATGCCATCTGACTCTGCAGAAGAGACCCTGTGCTCTTTGTAAATCTGAGGGTTCTCTGAGAATCCAATTCAGCTTCCACATACTTAGGATAGGAATTTGTGAGTAATGAGGCTGAAGCAATGCTATTTAGGGAAATTCTTCAGTTCTTAGGAGTTTCCATTGGTGTACATCTTTCAGGTAAAAATAAAAATTAGTCTGTTTCTGGCAATTATAACTTAGTAGTGAGCTTGTTTACTGTAGGAAAGCTGTCTAAGAGCATCATGTCACCTCTTAGAGATACAGCTTCTGTGTAAGGAAGTCCAAGAGAAGGGGAAAGAAAAATCAAGAAAGCAGAACTGGGGTGGAAAGAAAAAAGGAATCCTACAAGATGTTGGCAAATACACAAAATCAGTTATGTTGAGGCTAGGTGTGGTGGCGCACACCTTTAATCCCAGCACTGGGGAGGCAGAGGCAGGTTGGAACTCTGTCAGTTTAGGGCCAACCTGATCTACACAGCAAATTTCAGGCCAGCTAGGGCTAAATCACAAGACCCTGATTTATGCACAGATTGAATTAACGTCTTAAGTTCAAATTTTAAAACTTTAAAATGAAAAAAAATAATGTTGATTTCTTGAACCAAATCTGTTACAAATTGTTTCTAATTCTAACCTTATGGACTCGAGGATGGCATATTCATGTGTTCCCAGCTGAATACAAGCTCACCTCCTCTTCCTTTACTAGCTTTATCAAATTATGTTACCTAAAACTATGTCTTTTTTTTCAGTTTTGAATCACCTACTTGATTTTTAAAAAATCTTTTGAATATAAGTGCTATTCTAGTCCCTGAATCTCAATTGAACCAAATTTTTTTTAGAAATTCAAAATGGAGTTTGGAGATAAAACTTAATGATAGAATGCTTGCTTAGCAGATTTAAGGCCCTGGGTTTAATTTCCCATACCACAAGAAATAGTAATAAAAATTCAGATTGATGATTTGGTAGTTTACTAATGCAGATTGTTCCGTTACAATTACAGTGACACAACTGCCAGTCTATTTTTGGCAACTGCTGAAAGAGCTTTTGTTTGTTTGCTTACGTATGAAAATGAAAGCACTGTGCCACTGGTTCTGTCTTAACAGGAGTTTCACCGACCAGCTTCGTAAAATCTCCAAGGATGCAGGGATGCCCATCCAGGGTCAGCCATGTTTCTGCAAGTATGCACAAGGTGCAGACAGTGTGGAGCCCATGTTTAAACACCTGAAAATGACATATGTGGGCCTGCAGCTAATAGTGGTTATCTTGCCTGGAAAGACACCAGTATATGGTATGAACCTTTTTAATGTTAAATAAGGGATGATTTCAAGTCCTAGGTTTGACAGGATAAGCTAGGTGATGCCTCAGTCCCAACTCTCCATTCTCTGTGGTCTAAGCCGCAGAGACTGCCAGAGTGTGTGGAGGGGACAGACAGCTCAGTTCTAGAGTGCTTTGCTTGGGGGAAAATGGCACAACAGCACTTTCTACTTTCCTCCCCTTTGCCCCCCCCCCCCCATTCCTGCCCTTTCTCTCTTTCTTGTTGAGACAAGATCTCATGTCCATCAGGCTGGTCTTGAACTCATTCTGTGGTAGAGAATGACCTTGAACTTTGAATTCTACCTCTACCTCCCAATACTAGGATTCTGGGAATGAACCTCTACACATGATTTATGTGGTGCTGGGGATTGAACCCAGGGCTTCGTACATGGTAGGGAAGTACTCTATCCAGGCCAAGATCTATTACCTGTTCTTCTTTTGTGTCTATTCACGATAGACAGTGGCCTCTGCTCCATATAGCCACATCATTCTCACTCCAAGACCCAACTTGATAGAGCAGACACTGTTTACAAGGTTGCTGCCACCATGCTTTTCTCTCTACATCTGCATACAACCAGCCATGATGCCTCGCCTAGCCTATTGGGACAAGGTGACTAGACATAGGGGCAGGAAATGCTGTGTAGGCCTTCCATAGTGCAGGGAACTTGAAGAAGTAGAATATTCTAGTGAAAAGCAGAATATCAGAGTGGGAAGAATAGACATGGGGGGGGGCTGCTGCTTCTAGAATAGGATGTACTTAATTTATATCTGCTGTTAGAAGAGGGACTCAGGTTCTTCTCTTGGTTACCCCCAAGTAAAGACTGCAGACCAGCCCTTAAGCTTTTGTCAAACACCTCCAACCCTCTATCTTCTTCTTTTGTAACCTCCTATTTATTGCTTATGTTTTGAAAAAAGAAAGTAAAATTCAAAAGGCTGGTGTGTGCTCTGAGGAGGGAGGAGCCAGGATATTAATTCCTTTACCAGACTAGTTCTGAGGAGAAGAAACCTCAAGGGACCAAGCAAGTGGTGGCAGGCAGCACCTGAAGAATAAAGGAAGTGGGCTGGCTTCCAGAGCTGCAGCAAGTCAGGAAAGAGGAGGCTGCTCAATGGGTGTAGCAGATAAAAGTGCTGGCACTCTGTGGTTGGTAAAAGTTAATGTTTAAGACTTTTTCCTTTACTCATATTAGGTGATTAAGCATTTTAAAGAGAACTAATTTATTGACTTATTTTATAGCGGAGGTGAAACGAGTTGGAGATACCCTTTTAGGTATGGCCACACAATGTGTCCAGGTCAAAAATGTTGTCAAGACCTCGCCCCAAACCCTTTCCAACCTTTGCCTGAAGATAAATGCAAAGCTTGGAGGAATTAACAATGTACTTGTACCTCATCAAAGGTAAGGTCATGATTTGTTTTTCATGCTTTTATTAAAACCTAAATTACATGGTTTATGATAATGGGCACAGCTTTCAGCCGGATATGGTGGTACACACCATTACTTGTGGGTAAAATAAGGCAGGAGAATTCCAAGTCAGTCTAGGCCACATATAGCGAGACCTTGTCTCAAAAAAAGAAAAAAAAGTAAAGATAGAAAAGGAAAATCAAGGATTTAGCTGGGTGTGGTAGTTCATATTTTAATCCCAGCACTCAGGAATCTGAAGCAGGCCAATGGCTATGAGTGTCAGGCCACCTGATCTACATAGTGGGCTCCAGGCCAACCAAAGCTATACAGTGAGCCCCTGTCTCAAAAACAAAACAAAACTAAGGTCTGGGATGTAGCTAAGTGGTAGAGCACTTGCCTAGTGTATGCAGGGCCCTGGGTTCCATTCCCACCAGTGAATAGAAACCAGTAAACCAGACATGTCAAATATGCAACTCAATGACTTTCTTATATAGTGTGTGTAATCCCAGGTAGCACCACCAGAGAGACTTAGAACATTTCCAGATTCTATCAGGCTTTCTCTCCCCACTCCAAATAGGTAACTCCCAGAGCCAAGGCTGAACAGAGAATTCTCAAAAGAAGAAGTTCAAATGGCCAAAAGACACCTAAGGTCATGCTCAACCTCATTAGCAATCAGGGAAATGCAAATCAAAACAACTTTGAGATATCATCTCACACCTGTCAGAATGGCTAAAATCAAAAGCACCGATGATAGCCTTTGCTGGAGAGGCTGTGGAGGAAGGGGTACCCTCATCCATTGCTGGTGGGAATGCAATCTTGTGCAACCACTTTGGAAATCAGTGTTTCGGTTTCTCAGGAAATTCGGGATCAACCTACCCCTGGACCCAGCAATACCACTCTTGGGAATATACCCAAGAGATGCCCTATCATATGACAAAAGCATTTGTTCAACTATGTTCATAGCAGCATTATTTGTAATAGCCAGAACCTGGAAACAACCTAGATGCCCTTCAATGGAAGAATGGATGAAGAAAGTGTGGAATATATACACATTAGAGTATTATGCTGCGGTAAAAAACAATGACTTCTCGAATTTTGCATGCAAATGGATGGAAATAGAAAACACTATCCTGAGCGAGGTAACCCAGACCCAAAAAGATGAACATGGGATGTATTCACTCATAATTGGTTTCTAGCCATAAATAAAGGTCACGGAGTGTATACCTGGTGAACCTAA